GGAAAATCCTGAAATTGTTAAAATTCCTCTAGCTCGTTATGGAGAAGATGATAGGTGGACATGGGACTACACTAAATCTGGTGACTTTCCTGTGAGAAGTGTGTATCATGCTGTGATTGAGGCTACTAAAAATTGCATTGCTTCAACCTCGTCTCCACCTCATAAAGCAACCTGGTCTTCTCTTTGGAGTGCTAATCTCCCCCCTAAAATTAAACATTTTAAGTGGAGAGTTCTTCATAAGGCTATCCCTGTCAGATTTAATCCGAAGAAGAGAGGAATATGCGACGATCACATATGCCCCATGTGTGGTGATGCTCCTAAAACTATTGCTCATAAGCTTTTTTTCTGTGATGCAACTAAAGAGTTATGTTATGTTTCTCCCCTTAGGCTAAATTTCCAAGCTGAAAATTTCCATTCTCTCCTGTCTTGGTGTAAGGCAAAAGGTGAGGTGATTAAGGATAAGTTATGGTGGGATATCTTTTGGAGCTTACTTTGGGGAATATGGTTGAAACGAAACTCGTGGTTGTTTGAAAAGAAGGATACTCAAGTGGTAGATATTCTCAGGAAAGCAATTGGCATTGTGAGTGAGTATGAGAAGGCAAATTCTGTTTTGCCTTCTGAGATTGCATCAAGAAGTCTGGTGCCTCAAGTGTGGTTCCCTCCTGCCGCGGGATCCTATAAGCTTAATACGGATGCTGCAATTTTCAAGGGTGAAGCAATTGGATTGGGGGGTATTGCGCGTGACTCGTGTGGGGATGTCATGCTTGCAACTTGCTGCACTGTCAGGGGCAGCTTTTATGTGGATATAGCTGAAGCAATGGCAGCTAGGCACTGCCTTGGCATTGCCTTGGAAGCTGGCCTTCATAGATTAACCCTTGAATCTGATTGCTTAAAGCTGATCCTCCATATACAAAAGAAGAAGACAGAGAACTCTTACTTTGGTCAAATTGTGGCTGACATTCTTCATCTCTCTCATTCCTGTTCCTTTTTTGCTGCTTTGCACATTGGTAGAAAGGGCAATGGCGCTGCCCACAAGCTAGCTCGTATTAGCAAAAACTACTTAAAGATGCGTGTTTGGATAGAAGAAATTCCCAATGATGTAAACTCTGCTATTGTTTTTTATTCTGTTTCATGAGTAATAAAATGTGCGCATTTCCCGTCAAAAAAAAAAAATACCATTGATTGTATGCACTAAAGCCAGGGATTAGAAGTCTGCCGTTAGAGACAGCATATCGAGGAAATTAATCAACAAAAGGTATATGCAATTGCAGTATCTAAGATGGAAACAAAATAATAATAATAATCATAATATCTCCAATTAAATTCTATCTTGAAACAGTATCTGAGAAAGAAAAGAAAAGAAACAAAAGGCATCCAGTTCAAACAAAAAGAGAATTCTTCTATTCATCCAGCATATAAGAATCAAGGTATATGTAATTGCAGATCTGCAGAATTCCCTGCAAATTCACTAATAACCTCCCTCCAATTTCACTAATTGCCTTACAGGTTTAAATTATATAAGGGTTGACAAATTTAACAGATCCTGCTGAAATTCCTTGCAATTATAACACCTGCAGAAATTCCCTGCAATATAACTAATAAATTTGCTACTGTCACTTAAAGAATTACTCCCTCCGTCCCAAAATAGTGCCACAAATCTTTTTACTATGTACAAGAATATCGAGAACTTCCTTCACAAACTTGCATTGAAATTCCCATCAACATATAAGAAAAAAAATAAAGTCAAATTATATCTCGTTAGGACTCATATCAATGTGAATTTCCTAGAAATCAACTGTCCATAATTTTTCAACAAAAAGTTTGATGAGATTCATGATCAAAGGGTTATATTGAACGTGGAAAACATTTGTGGCAATTTATTTAGTACAGTTGTACTCATTTGCTCTTCAAACAAATCATAGGTGTTGGTTCAGTGTTTACAGACCAGGTCAATTTAAGGGAGACAGATTTTACTTGCCTCATAACTCATAATAAAGTTACTCTGTTGTCTAGGAACCCGTATATAGTTGATCTCCCACATCTAGCATCTAAGTCATAAGTAAACCAAATAGCTTTACACTGTGTTTGGATAAATAAAGGGGGAGGAAAAGAAGGGGAGGGAGGAGAAGAGGAGGGGAGGGGAGGGAAAGGGAGGAGAAGGAAAAATGGTGAGTTTTCCTTCCAAATCTCTCCCTTGTTGGAGGGATAAATTTCTTGCAATTTAATCCCTCCATTTCTCTCCCCTCCAATTCCCTTCCTTATTCATTTGTATATTTCATCTCTCCATTTTCCTTCCCTTCCTTTCCCTTCATTTCCTTCAATCCAAACACACTGTTAAAATGCCCAAACAACACATCATCTCCAGTGAACAAAATCTAACATCTCAAAGACACACCAGCTAAACTGTGTATCATAAACTAATTCACTCATGCAAACAGCTAAAAAATCGTTTATTCAAAGTTTCAAACATTAAAAGTCCTTCTCGCTATTAACTATCAAAATCTCTCCAGTGGCTTGACTGTCCTTAACACCTCAGGATACCTTAATCGACAAGTAAATGGAGCCTCAAGTAAACTTAGATTCAGCTTAATGAAACCAATTCAATTTCTGTGATTTTCATCCAAGTAGGAAGCAATTGTTAGATATTGAAAGAGTCGTCTCAACATAGTTCATCACATATAAACACTTAACCAACAAATCTGCATTCACATAATAAAAAATTCTCTAATTTTATCAAAAGAAAATTATATCAAACTTGTAACAATACCTCAAAACAAAAATCACAACAAATTCAAACAATAGAAGTTGAGTAGATGATAAAAATAGAAATATTGCCAAGAAATTAAGGGAAGATTAAGCAAAAGGGATTAAAATAATGGCATACTAATACCTTCTCTCTTCCAACATATTCGTCATAATCCAAATACAGATTAATAAAAAAAAAAATAAAAAAAAATAAAAATTGAAAGGAGAAGTTTAACCGTGTAATAGAAAAAGGGAGATGTTCACGAGGAAAGATTAATGGAAGAATAGAATAGTTTTGGAGAAGACGCAGAGAAAAGTGAAAATTTGATAGTGAAGGGAATATCAGCTACTGGGGAAAAGTAAAACTCAATAAATTATGAGCCTTCCCATTCTTTAAATTATGGAGCAATACTTCCTTCTTGAGAGAAGTTAGACTAAAGTATAAACATTTTCATCCTATGAGAACTTATAGTGGTAATGCAGTCATGTGCTAAAAAAGACGGTGCAGTAATTTAAACAGCTCAGTCACAAACACAGTACAGTTATCATAACCAATTGGCGATTCTTTGTCCCTATATGTTCCATTTTCCAATTTGGATGTCCCTAATAAAGTGCTCCATTTCCTTAATAGGAATGTGGTCCCATTACCATACCTTTCATCAATATGTGGCCTTTACTAATTTAGCTTTCAATCAAATCCACTCAGCCAAATATTGAAACATAGTAACATGAGTAACAACATTATTTACTGTTAGCCCTCATCTTCTCTATATCCATTCCCATGGAATTCAAGATAGCCCTAGATTTTAACAAAAACTAGAGCTTTGATGCATTTTTCAGTCATCACCCTACTTAAGCAAACAAAAATAAGATCTAAAAATAACACTCATTGTCAACTGCATGGCATAAATTGATCGATAAACAATCACCTCAGATCTTTCTAGAACAAGTCAAAGCACAGTGAGCAAATTCATATAACAAATAAAAATTGAAGAGGCTATACACAAGACGGTCAGAATCAGCATGATATAAATCCCTATTATCAACAGTAACAAACTGCTAATACATCAGTTGTGGCTAGAATCACAATGCCCCGGCCAGTTTTTGTTCAAAGATACCAGTCCGTCCATCTTTAACAACTTAATTTACTTAATGTATCAACTTCAGCTTTCCAGTTAATCCATAGACAATTGATTACAGGATTATTCAAGGCTCAATAAGCTTGATCTAGAATCCTAAATTCCAGCTACTGAGGCCAGTTCCGTGTGTTTAGACATTATGCATAACTTGGATAGACAGGTAGATACAGAGAACTGACAACTCTCCAGTCTACTGTGAATGGTATGAACTTAAGATTTGAATATAAGGCATGCAGGATATGGTCCATATGAAATGGTTATGTAAGGGAGAAGGGAACCATGTTCTAAAGCGATGATGGATGGGGTAAAACTTTTGTGTGGTCCTCATGCATCATTACTTTTCCTTGGTTTACGTAGCTACGAGTAACACTTAGCAAAGCAAAGCGAGTACAACTTACTTTTTGGGTCTGTAACTAGGTTTTCCTAATACATACGTAGCATAAATATATATGTTCCAACCAAGATGAACATATTCCAACTTCCTCCTTACAGCAACACAAAACAACAATTGCGTCAAAAAAAACACAAAACAACAAGCAGGACTTTCAATTTTTGTCATAAATCCATAGATTTCAGTCCAGCCCAAAAGCCAAAACAGAACCTTTGACTTGACAGGCAACTGGGACACTTTTCAAACCCTAGCAAAGTCATGCCCAGTAAAGAATTCAAAATATTTTACTCCTTGAGCCGTTTCAGTCCACACTTTCTACCCCCCCCCCCCCCCCTCTCCAATTCTTAAAAAAATGGAAGAATATGCAAACATTCTCTACAGCATATGCTTCCAACAATTCTCAGTATCACACGTCACAGTCCAAGAAAAACAAGTTTACTCTTCTAAGTATTCACATTCTCTAGACTTATATCCAAAATACATGCTAGACTTCCCTTAATTAAGCATGGAACCTAGATTAAACTGGAGGATACATCAAACAAGATAGCATTAACAGCAGAAACTGTGTAAATTAAGCAATTGTCTGGTGAAATAAGCACCAAAGTAAACACCATAGTAGATGGCTCTCAACTGAATCAACAACTAGAATATTCCAGCCTTGTGTAATAAACACCATCAGAGCAAATTCTATACTTAAGTCACTCACAAAATCATAATAGTAAATCTGTTTAAGGAATATGAAGCACAAACTTCGTAACACACAACATAAAGAGATTTTTTGCGTCAGAATCAATACAATCCACATCTGAGGAGAGAAACGAGACTATATCTTCTAGTAACCAAGAGAACTAACCTAAAAACTGATTAAACTCAGATGCACATAAAAAGATCTTCAGCAAACATAATAAATCGAAAGTAAAAGTAAACTTCAGCAGAGAGCAGCACTCAAAATTTTACAATAAAACCATAGCTAATCATGTGGACAGCACAGTGCCAAATCAAAATCCTAAAACAGCAAAAATAAAAGAAACGAATTGGCATTGATCAGCAAAATCATACCACATAAGTCTACCGCACAGTAACTATATCATCAATCTTCAAAATCATCCTAACACACTCTGTTGCCAAGGAGATTGCACTTGTACTGACCAGCAATGGCTGCACCACATTCTCCTCTAAGATATTAGTGATCTGCCCCTTCCTTACATTGATTCCGGCATTGATCTCTCCTTGAGCATGCTTGTTTCTCAATTCGGTAACAATTGAAATTGGGTTCAAACCTGCATTTTCAGCCAAAGTATACGGGATAACCTCAAGAGATTCGGCAAAATGCTTAACACAGTATCCTTCCATTCCTTGAAGAGACTTGGCCCATGCCCCCAGCTGCCTTGCGAGCTCAATCTCTGGAGCCCCACCACCAGCAATCAAAAATCTCTTACTCACCAAACATCTCACAACACACAAAGCATCATGCAAACTCCTCTCAGCCTCATCTAAAACCAACTGGTTCGATCCTCGAACAAGAACAGTTGTAGTCCTTCCCATATTCTTAATCCCAGTAATCTTCACAATCTTAGATTCCCCAACAGATACCTCCTCAACCATATCAGCATGACCCAACTTCTCAGCTCTAAAATGCTCGACATTCGCAATAGGCAAACAGTTCAAAGTCTTGGTAATGAACTCGATATCATCCCTCTCGATATCCTTAATCACCAATATCTTCGCTTTAGCCAAGTAATGAAGCGCCAAATCGGTGACGGCATCCCTCAAAATACTCTTTTGAATTAAAAGCACATTACACCCAGCAGCCTTAATCTTCTTAATCATCCCCAAAAGGTAATTCCTCTCCTCCTTCAGAATCCGATCCATTTGGGTATAATCAGAAACAACGATACTCTGCTCGATATCAGTTTTAGGAGGAGAAATCTGAAACTGAATCACACCAATCTTGGCATTCTCCATCCTAGTAAGCCCACCACTAGAGTGGGAAACCTTCTTATCGAAAACCAACCCTTTAACCAACTCAGTATCATCAACAGTTCCGCCATGTTTCTTAACAATCTTAATATCTCTCAAATCAACCATATCAGGTTTCTCAGGATCAACAACAGATAAAACAGCATCAACAGCAAGAGGAGCTAATAAAGAAGAATACTGACTTACAACCTTACTATTCAACGAAGTAGAGGCAGACTTCACAAGCGAATCCCGATCCGAAAGCTCCAACGGCACCGCCATCGAAGTAAGAACATGAACGGCATGAGTGGAAGTTTTGTGGAGCGCGTCAGATATCACGGTAGGGTGAATCCCATGAGAAAGAAGGAGAGAACACTGCTTAAGAAGCGCACCAGCAAGAACAACAACAGTAGTAGTGCCATCACCAGCAACAGTATCCTGAGATTTGGAGAGTTGTACGAGGAATTTTGCGGCAGGTTGAAGAACATCCATTTTGTTGAGAATGGTAGCGCCATCGTTGGTGATGATTACTTCTCCAGAAGCAGTTTGGATCATCTTGTCCATACCTTTGGGACCCAAGGAGGTGCGGACGGCGTCGGCGACGGCTTGGCCTGCCGCCATGTTTTGCTGGCGGATGTCTTCGGTGCGCTTATTGTCAACGAAGGTCTCGACCTTTGCGGAGGAGCGTGGAGCTTGGACTGCGGGTGCCGCCATTGTTGCGGAGGAGAGAGAAAAAAGTGAGTTTTGGGTTGCAGGGGAGTGAGAAGAGAAGGTGCGTAAAACCCTAAAAATGAAATGGCGGAGGAAATATGAGAGAGAGTGACACTACTACACAATTCGTGGGAGGCGGTGGTAGTTCTAGACTTCTATAGATTGTGAGTTTCAATTTCAAAAACCAAAAAAATTACTAATTTCAATTAAAGTTAAAGTTACCTACCTTTTTGGCTGTTTAATGCACGGATTGTTACTTGGGCTAATTATTTTCATATGAGGAAAGATTGTTTCATTTCTAAAAATTATAAAAGAAAAGAAAAAAAAAAGGTAGAACCGTGAAAGAAGATGAAGGAATTTAGTTATTAGATATACATATATACACGTGAAGATTGTGGGATATAAAATGACATTTATTTTAAATTATATTTAAAGTCTCGGTGTTGAAAAGACAATTTTTATTATAATTTATATGTTTATGTAATGTGTATTAATTAAAACATTATTTTATTATGGTGGAAATGAAACACTTAATTTTATTACTTGAATTTGCAAGTTGTATAATACATAAAGACTTAAACATAAATATTAAGGGAAATGATATGTGGCATATGAGGTGATGAGTGACTTGTGAATTATGATGTCATGTGTCATATGAAAAATTTGTGGTTTGTGTTTTTAAATACTAAAGTGTAGATAGATATAGATATAGATATAGATTTCAGTTTAATTCAGCAAATTTCAATTCAGTTCAGCGCAGCGAATTTCAATCCAAAAGAGCAGAGCCCCATACTTCGTACTCTTTGTTACTAATTGATTGTCCCAAAAAATATTGTTTATTTTAACTTACTTTTGCTGAATTAAAATTAATTTTATTGAAATGAAATAAATTTTACTGAAATTAAATTATTTTTACTAAATTTATGATAGAGTGGAATAGGGTTTTCTGAGAGCAGTAATGGGGAGAATGGGGTTTGCGTAGAGTTGGGTGGACCGTGTGCTACATTGTGTTTCAACTGTGTCATTTTCGATTCTAATAAATGGTGCACCTTCGGGGGAGTTTACTCCGGCTAGGGGTTTACGACAAGGTGACCCATTATCCCCATATCTTTTCATTTTATGTGCTTAAGCATTGTAGGGCTCATTAATAAAGCACTACTAGAAGGGCGGCTTCATGATATTAAAGTTGCTTCGTCGACTCTGGTTGTTTCACATTTGTTCTGTGCCGATGATAGTGTAATTTTTTTCTAAGACCAATGTACAGGAGGTGGACACTATTAGAGAGATTTTACAGACATATGAACAGGCTTTGGGACATATGGTGAACCTTGGAAAAACAACCGTGACCTTTAGTAAGAGAGTTTCTGATCAGAGAATAGTGAAGCTTGCAGGTAGGCTTAGGGTGAAGGTGGTGGATGTGCATGACAAATATTTGGGGTTACCGACGGTAATTGGAAGGTTGAAGAGGTTTCTTACTAGAGGGGTTAGAGAGAATATGTGTAAGCGGCTCCAAGGGTGGAAGGGGGGTTTTTATCTAAGGCGGGTCGGGAGGTTCTAATTAAGGTAGTGGCCCAATCTATCCCGACCTACGTGATGAGTGTGTTCAAATTTCCCTCCTCTTTTTGTAATGAATTGCGTTCTCTAGTCTCTAATTTTTTGTGGGGTCAGAAGATAAGAGAGTGGAAGATGCATTGGATTGCGTGGAGAAAGTTGTGTGAACCTAAGGCGGGTGGGGAGTTGGGGTTTTGCGACTTTAAACATTTTAACTTAGCTCTCCTTGGTAAGCAGGTTTGGAGGCTCTTAAAAAATCCCAATAGCTTGGTGGCTCAGATTTTGAAGGCAAGATACTATGCCCAGGGTGACTTTCTTAGCTCAGAGCTTGGTAATTTACTGAGTTATACATGGCGGGGTATATGGGGTGCCAAGTGGGTGGTTAAACGTGGCTTGAGATGGTGTGTAGGGGACGGTCTAAGTATCACTGTATGGCAAAGTTCGTGGATTCCGAACACTCAATCGAGGAAAATAATTTCTCCTAGAGGTAATGCTCCTGAGGACCTACGGGTGTGTGACTTGATTCATCTTCCTACGGCTTCGTGGGATGCGAATAAGATAAATGAGTTGTTTCTTCCGTTTGAGAGGGAGAGAATTCCGAGTATTCACTTAAGTTGTAGACTTTCGGAGGACTCAATTTGCTGGGATCTTGAGAAGGAGGGCGAGTATTCTGTTCTCTTTGCCTATAGTGCTATTTTTGGGGAGTACAATGTGGAGAATGAAGCCTCTACCTCGGGTGGGACGAATCTATGGAACAAAATATGGCATGCTAACACTTTACCTCGGGTTAATGTGTTTGTGTGGAGGGCTTGCAAAGGTGCACTACCCACGTTGGCTGGGTTGAGCAGGAGTTTGCCAAAGAGAGATGTGACATGTTCACTCTGTGAGGCAGAGCCTGAGACCGAGTTGCATTGTTTAAGGGACTGCATTATTGCCCGTTTAATTTAGGATGTAAGTGGGTTGGGAGGCAATGTTCAGGGAACATTCTACAATTTTGGGGACTTCGTTGCAGCATGTTTAACTCGCTTACAAAGAGCAGAACATGGCTTATTTATGACAAGTATGTTGGTCTATTTGGAATGCTCGTAACAGGTAGATTTTTGAGGGGGAGGAGTGCGATCTGAATAGGTCCATGTATTATGTGAAAAAGCTCATGATCGAGCTGAAACGAGAAGAGGTCAATGATGTGGGGGGCGGGAGAAGGGTGATGCACCGTTGGAAGGCTCCAAGGGCTGGCTAGGTGAAGCTTAACGTCGATGGAGGAGTTTGTGAGGGGTGGGGGTGCTGTGTAGGAGCTGTTATTCGGGATGACAGAGGGGAAGCACTAATTGCTGCTGCTTGGATGATGGAGGATCGCTAGCAGCCTGCTATTGTGGAAGCCAAAGCCATATTTCTGGGACTCAAGCTCGCTGTTGAATCGGGTTATAGGAAAGTGCAAGTGGGGACGATTGCCTTGGTCTATTTAATGCAATTTCACCACAAGAGAAAGGAAGTAGTAGTATCCAATTTTTTTTGAATGATATTCATCATTATAGTAGTTTTCTTGATCAAGTTAGTTGGAGTTTTTTTCGGGAGGGAAATAAAGTTGCTCATGAGTTTGCTCATTGTCTGCCATGGGTAGTAGGTAGTCGTATATGGTCGACGGATTTCCCGTTTACTATTGTATCCCTCTTGAATGCTGATTTGATTATTAATGAAAGTTAGTTGCTCCTTGGGAGCTTTTCCTCAAAAAAAAAAAAAAAAAAAAAAATTACTAAATCGAAATTAATTTTGTAAATTTGTTGAACTGAAATTATTTTTATTGATACTCTGTTATATTTTTTTAAAAGTTAAGTTACTTAGTAAATCTTTAAGGAAAAATTAATGTCAATTTTCTAACTGACTCAATTCTCTTTTTGTGGGTTTTGAATTTTATGATCCTAAACTGTTTAGCTCGCAAATTTACGGGTCAAATCTAACTCGGCCTGTTGAATCGTTTTATTTTATGGGGTTTTCTTTTCAATATCTTTATAAATACATTAATTGGGAAATGAAGACCTTGTTTTTTTTATTGAATTTGATCGTCCATTCACCATTTTCTCTCTCTCTCTCTCTCTCATTTATCTCTATTTCTCTAAGCTTCACGCCAGTCGTCACCCATACCAACCTACCAACCAACACGATTGCACCAACTGCACTCACATAACCCATATAGTGCCACCAGCCGCTATCTGGTTTAGTTTATATAATATAGATTACCAAGATAGTCCACAAATATAAAGTAATGCTTAAATTTAAGTAAGTGAAAGTGCAATTGGTACTCAAAAAGGAGATGGTTAAATTGCGTACGGTACCAGTTAGTGTATTTATAAAAAAAATCCTTAAAACAAGGGAAATCAGAGAGTGTGGAAACTAGCAAAGCGAAAACAGTAATACGATAAAAACATAATCATTTACCGACTCAAATCCTACGTTCTCCCTATTCAAATTAATTAACTCAAAAAACACAAAAACGATTACAGCTAGGGCTGAGCAAAACTATCAGAAAAACCAAAAACTCGAAAACCCCATATGTCCGATCCGAAAATTAGGGTACCCGATCTGATAACCATAATCATTCGGGTTTTTGATCCGATAATTTATTATCAGGTATGGTTATAGGGTATCATTTTAAAATTAATGGTTACCTGATCCGATCCGATAAGCAATTTTTTTTTCTACTTAAATCTATTATTTTGCCAAATGTTTCGGGGATTTTTGTATCATGCGGGAAAGTTACGTCACTAAGACTGGATTCCCTTCCATTGTACCTGCAAAACAACGAAAACTCCGGTTGGTAGGAGTTTTGCCTCCGACCATTAAGTTAGAACCGGTCAAAGTTAGGTACTTAAAAGTGCGAAAGTAAAGTGAGAGAATTGATTGTATGTAATAAATGTAGTGCCCCCAAATTAGAGTAAATTTCCCTATTTATAGGGTAATGGGGATCAGTGTCTTCTTTTCTAGGTCAGTAACCTAGGTAAATGGATTGCGTCATTTTTACGACTTTCTCAGGAATTATGCCCTTAAGGCCGTTTTTTTCCAACTGATTGGGGATGCCACATGTCAGATGGTGATTGGTCCTCGTTGGACCTCTTGTAGGGCAACACATGTCACCTTCTGATAGGGCCATGTGGCCAAGGTATTTTACCCAAATCATTTGCCCTCACAAAGGTAATGTGGCGTGCCATGTGACGTTTGTGACACTTGTCAATTTGCTATTGGTGAACAGTATAAACCTTTCACCTTCTAGGGAAATTATGGGGATGCCCCTAAATTTACCCCTCTATAAATAAGGTTTCCCCCCCCCCCCTCATTTTTGACATTTTCACAAAGTCTAGAGAGAGAAAGTTTAAAATTCTAAAGAGAGAGTCTTATAACAGCCTAAGTGTTTTCAAGACAATTGCTTGATTTTCTTCCCGCCTGATACAACCGGTCAGCGCTTGATACCTCTTTCTTTAAAAAAATACATTTAAGGTACAATCTTTCTCCCTCTCATCCTTTTTCCATCTGTGCATACTGTTTTAAATAAATAAATTCACCATCATCATACACAGTACAACCTAGGATATT